TCTGCCATGTCCACAAGTCCACCTGCATTGCACAGAAAGAGCAGCCAAAGCCCTGCTGCTTGATGCTGTGCTCAAGAAGATGGTCTAGTGAGGAGAGTGAGGAGAGGGGAATCCATATATACTCTTGCCAAGCTGCAGTCGAGGTCAAAACACAACACACGGTGTTAACAGAGCACTCTGCAGTCACTGGATAGCAACTGCTGACTAAATCCCCTCAAAGACTGAAAACCATGAAGATTTATTGTAGCCACTGTACCTGTATAAATAAACACATGTAGAATCTGGTGGAGATTCACTGCTCAGTTCAGAATTAAAGGGAATGTTCCTTCGCATGGATGTAATGGGAAGAGGCAATTAGAATTTCCAGGTTGGCACATACATTAAGTATGTTTTGAGGTATACTAATTAGGCAAAGCTGCAAGTCTCCCAAATTAGAAAGCATGCTCAACAAGGAGTGGAAATGAAATGCAAATACCAGTATTCAGACATCATGTAGAAGACAAGGGTGACTTTCAGCATTCTATTACACAGGCACTTTTAAGCTATACAAAGTCTCCTGGCCTTTCTTGTGCTGTAGGTCCATGTTGCATTCAGTTGTGCCATATTCCATACCATTATAGCTCAGATTTGCTTTATGTCCTTGAGGGATATAGTCTGTGCTTCTCTGCAAACATTGATTCTATCTCCACCCCTCCCTACCTCTCCCCCACAGCTCCCCCTCAACCCACCCCTCCTACCCAAAAAAAAAGAAAAAAAGATGGTTGGTTGGTTGGCTGTGGTTTAACATTTTCTTTTTCTTCTTCTTTTTTTAATTATTACTTTATTTTACCTTTCAATTCTCTCTCTCTCTGGAGAGTTTCAGCACAAAGCAGAGTACTGTAGCGACACAGGGCTCTACATTTGAAGCTATCAGAGTTTAAGCAATTGGCCCTTTAACTTTGTATTAATTGCTTACAGGGTAAAATATTGCAGCTACAGTTATTACCTTTGTATAACAGACTCTGTGTATCAAATCAGGCTAACCGTAACCCCAGAGAAACAATTCAACTGAACTGCTCTGTCTAGATTTAGTCAAGACTCACCAGGTCTCTGAAGTAGGAAAACATAAAGTATAAGTGGAATGAAACCCTAAGGGAGTAGAACACAAAACAAGAACTCTTTGGGTTTTTGTTCCTTTATGCTCCACAGTGTATAACCCCAGAGAACCAATAAATGCAGATGGAGCACAAAAAAATATGAACTCAACATTGCCTTTTTTTTTTTTTTTTTTTTTTTTTTTTTTTATAACTTCTACTAATCCACTGTTTGCTTCACGAGCCATGTAAGAAGGAGTTTGCGTGGTTTATATTCCCAGAGTCCCATTATGGTAAAGCTCAAAACCAGCTCACCAAAGTATTTGTAAAACTGAGGGGGGAAAAAAGTATAGATTTTCAACTGATAATAAATCACTTTGTCAGCCAAAATAATCTGACTCTGCTCTCCAGTATTACTTACTACAAGATGACAGGAATAAATACAGTAAACAGGATATTAAATAAAAACATGAGTTAGGGTCATCTAGATACAGATGGCACAAAGGGAGATATGTATCAGACTGCTCAAGCTGACTGCGTGGCAGAATGCATCTGTGCTCCACCTTTACAAGTCTGCTCTTCCTAGCTTCAAATGTCCCACACAAAAGAATTTCATAATCCTAAGCCACTTACTGTCAGGAAGATGTGTGTGGTGTATGGTCCTATTGTATAATTATTCAGTTGTTACTCCTATAATGCATAACATTATCTGGAATAATTCTTCACTACAACAGTGAGCCTCTGTAAGTAGCTTATGTTTCTTCTTCCAGTCCACCCTCCACCTTATCGCTCCTATGAGATCTGAAAGGAATATTATTCGTTCTACAAACAAGTTTAGGAAGGAAAGTCCAACATTTCATAGAACGGCACACAAACCAATTACAGCAAGAAACTGAACCAAAGTTCTAAAACCTTGGTAGTATGTCAATATCACAAACCATAGAGCATGTGTATATATATATATTTAAACAAACAAACAAAAAAAAAAAAACAAAAAACAAAACAAAAAACAAAACAAAACAAAAAAAAACAGCAGCACCAAATAAGTTTTTCTGGCTGTAAATTATGGTGGAGATAGAGATAGAGAAAAAAAAAAATAAATAAAAAATCTGTTTTGGTCTCCTTCTACAAGAATTAACGTACAGCACCACAATGAAAACTTTCAAAGTGCTTTTGTTGGAGCTGAACCTGTTAGAACGTAGCAGGTATTCAAATCCCTCACGTTGCCTTTCCCTTAATGCACTAACAGAGAAAATAATGAAACTGTTTTTGTAGGATTTGCATTTTGGCACATAGGAATTCTCCTAATCTAGAAATTAAAAAATAATAATAATAATAATAATCCATCTGATAATGTCAATGAAACACAGCAATTTAAAGAGAGATTTTACTACTGTCTTCTTCACACCTTCCACCATTTCTTTTTCTACATTCTTGATACTTCCAGTGCTGCCTTCTCACTGCCTTTCAGTTGTTGGTCTATTCCAGACCCAACAGGACCTGATTTCATAGCATCCAAAAGGGAAAGCAAAGCCACTGGGTTTCTGCCACACACTACTGAGAAAAACAATAAGATAGATACTTCTATCAACTAATGGTATAGATGCCATTTTTAGATCCAGATTAAAACTGCTTTTCAATTAGACATAAAATACTAAAATATAACTTTGAACATTTTTATCTCTAAAAGACCTTCATTTCCATATAGCATTAAGAACACATACCACTGACTGCAGGACCAAGCTCTGGTGATCAAGACTTTAGAGAAAATGCAGATACTAACTCAGGATAGGGCACAACATGACTTAAGAAGCGATCACTGGTGATTTCATCACAATCCTGTGCATAGAAAGCTTGTTTTGGAACACGGTTTTTGGATTCTTATGAAAAATGACATGATTTCACAGAACAAATGTTGTATATAAGGACATGTTCTGTGACCTGGAGCTTCCACAGTACTTGAGCACTTTGCTCCCACTGTAGAAGTCTGAAAATCTCTGAAGCTGTGAACTATAATATTAAGTTAACTGGTGCTGGTTATCAGAAATGTATTCCGATCCCATCTCTTATAGCACCATTCAGTTTAACGCTCACATTGAAGTGAACAGGCTGAAATCCTCAATTCTGACTTCCAAAATTACCATTCCATTACACTCACACACATAAAATCCAAACAAAACTCTACTAAGTCCCCAGTATAGCAGTGAGGCTAATTATACATGAGAAATAAGGAAAATATATCCATATTTGCAACACCCTTGACAATATTATCCTTAGACCTACCTTTTTATTTGGCAAATTGAAAACAGATTTAAAAAGGTAACAATGACTAAATACAAAGAAGATGATGGATTAAATATCCACTCAGTGAGACTTCTTGAATACAACTTGGGGGGGGGAAAAAAAAAAAAAAAAAAAAAAAAAAAAAAAAAA